GAAAAGAGAAGAGGAACTCACCTTCCGGTAGATAGGAGATACTCATTCCGGCTTTCGTGGGGACATCCATCAGCTTTCGTTCATTGACATAGGCCATAAGAGATACACTACCAAGGTAACCCTTCTTCTGCATGGTTTCTTCCATACTCGAGTAAATGAAATTGACTACCATGGGATTGGATGGAAACTCCTCAACGACCCAGAAGATTCCTATTTGATCCGCAGCTGCGAGGTTTCAAGAGACAATGATATCATGAATACTATGACAGATCGCCATATATTTTTACCGTGACAGACTAAAGCTAATCCAAGTATAGACAGTTAGACAAGAAAAAGATATCTTACTTTTAAAATTTAATAGTTTTGGATCTCTTGGTCCTTCATCCCGTATAGGGAGAGCTAGTCCATGTGGTGAGCCTTTGCAAAGTAAGTCAAAGCTGTGACTCCAGAATGGTAATTGGATCTCGGAGGGTCCAAAGATCACATCAGAGCCTGAAGCTTCCAAAACTCGAACAACATGGTCCCACTTGGCCATGTATTTAGCTGGTCTAGAAATCAGCATGAAATGAGTTGGTTCGTCCGTGTTCATGGACCAAAAAAGCATGTCGAGCAGCATCCTAGTGAACTTGGCATCTTCATGCTCTCCTGGAAAAGAGAGATACATATCAACACAAGTAAACAGAGAAAGAGAAAAAAGTGGAATGTTCGTATAGGGTATAGGGACTCACTGTTGGTTATGACAATGACTTCGTTAATGTCGTCAGACAATTGGATATTAGACTCTTCCCTGTCACGATAAGCCCTGACTGACACATCACCATAATAACCCTTGCCCTGAAGAGATAGGTTGATCAAGGAAGTGAAGGAAGTCAAGGATGGGCAACCCTGGACATCCAAAAAGATGACTACATCAGTCCCTGAGAAGAAAGAGAATAAACAATTAGATTATGAATAATATAATTGGTTAAGATCCATCAGAAAAGCAAAGAGATAAATCTTACTGGCAACAATTTTTGGACGCACAGAAATGAGTCCTTTAGGAAAGGGACCAGTTTCCTCCTCTTTCTTCGGCTCATGTTTCGGAACATTTGTAAGGTTTGGAAAAAGTCCTTTGTTGAGTATATACATAAAAAAAAAATCCCAGGGGTCAATTGATGATAGGTTAGTTGATAAGGGCGGAGCAGACATGACTAAGGCGATATTGTAGTATCTGTCTGTCTTGCAGAGATTCAAGGGCATGGAGGAAGTCTGATCCTTCTTTGACGTTTGCTGAGATTACCATCAAATCCACTGGCTTGTGATAAGTGGCAGGGTTTTCCATTGCCCACAGAACAATGTCCACTAACATAGTGTCAGCTCGAGTATATTTACCCCCTAACATAGGATTAGACATACAAACGAGATTTGATGATGAACATAAACTAAGCTCTCATGAATAAGATGAAGATGAACACTAGGAGAATCTGGAAATTTAAAAAAAAAAAAACTTCACCTTGTATAGGTATAGGAAGGAGGGTGACTTTGTCATTCCGATAGCCATCTGGGAAGTTTTTCTCATCGATATAAGCCTTTAGTAACAAGGTATCAGCCGCACCAAGATAACCCTTACCCTCAAGAAAATCTTTCGTACGGCGATAAATCCATTCAGGATGCAAACCATGGGGGAACGGAAAATCGACGGTGTCCCAGAAGACGCATGCTGCAAGGAAGGGGAAAGGCATAAATATCCAAAAAAAGTCTACATCGATCGATCATGAAATACTCTCGCGATCTTACCGTCTGGCATGGTTTGACGGGGGAGAAGGATACTAGATTTTTTTTTGTTTGGTCGAAAGAAGAAACTACGATTAGGGATGAGAAGAGAGTAAATTGGTTATTGGGATTCTGGATTAATATAAGAACACGATTAGGGATTCTGGCGAGTCGGTTTCATTTTAAAATACAATACGATCTCTTACGAAAACTACCTTATCGAATTCAAAATCGAGCTATTACAAAAACCTACATGGACTCTCAATCACGCTCGTGAAAGACAAAGATTGAGAAAATAAACAAAAGTTTTACAAGAGGAAGAATCGTTCGTCGTAAAATAA